ATATATATATATATATATATATATATATATATAGCTACACCCAGCAACTCGATCAGGGGTGTCGGTCTGGACTCCTTCGAGGGCCAGATCCGCATTGTAGTTCTCCTCCACGGGCCGGCCTGGTGGCGGCGGGGAGACCAAACGGAGGCGACCTCAGAGGCGGCATTCAGCCGGATCGGGCTGGTTTGGTCAAACCGGTAATGGCACCCTCCGGTTTTATGCCGTCCTATTTAGCCACGTTTTCAAAGCCACTCATGTGAGCAAAGCAGCGCGTGCACGGAAGGCATGCACACTCACAGAGCGAGCACGCGCACGAGTGGCGAACTGGTGGTAAGCCTCTGTGAAATCCGTCTCTGCAGCATCCTTCAGGCCAAATAGGGTGTGGAGGGGCCGTAGCAAAAGCTACGGTGTCTCTGGCAGCCAAAAAGGGATGTGAGGGGCATTTGCTCTACTCTCTTCTCTCTCTCCTCTTCCTTCTCTCTCTTTCTCTTTCTCTCTCTCTCTCTTTATCTATCTCAGTGGTCTCCAACCTTGGCAACTTTAAGCTTTGCTGGCTGAGGAACTCTGGGAGTTGAAGTCCACAAGTCTTAAAGTTGCCAAGGTTGGAGACCACTGTGCTACACCACCGAGGCTACACCACTGTAGTGTATTTTTGCTTACCCTTAGTTGAAACTAGTAACGGCCAAATCTGAAAACTTACAATGCTAAATTTTGAACTGCCCTTGGGAAGCTCAGTTTGTTTCATCTTCAGTGAAATTAAAATAAAATTAAGTAAACCAAATATCAGATATTAGGATTATTTCTCATGTAGTTAATATTTAAGTGATGTAAATTATTTACGAACTCTGCAGCCTTTGGATTGGGAATCCCTATTGTACCCACCAAACTGGGAGAGGAGGAGAGGTGAGAGATCCTATTCTGATCCTAGCATTAATGGAATCTGAATCAGAAAATTAATCCTAGAATAATTCTAGAGTTGTCCGGCATGCATATCTTTGCTAATAAATGGATGATTGATGATTGATGATTGATTGACATGTTTGAAACTCCCCAATGAATTACATTTAAAGTCTTCCGTCTCTGATTTGTGTCTCAGATTGAAGCCATCATATTTTCCCATCAGTGGCCCAGAAAACCATGGCAACAAAACGTGGCATCCTTTCATTTGGAGTTGCCTACATTTGACTATGAGCTACATGTTCATCTGATTTTAGACTGAGGTCTATTCTTGGTTAAACAACAGTACAAAAAAAAGCAAAAATAAAATGTGATTTAAAATTTAAATCTAGATTGAAAATCTGATTGATTCATGAGTTACTCCAAAGATATTAAACACATTTAGCACAAAGATACACAACTGTATCTTTCTGCCCCGTGCCAGCTCAGTGTAGCGGCGGATGTGATGTGCCGATGCCTGGAAGCTGTCAGGATCTGGATGGGGTGAACAAACTTGTTCTCAATCCTTATAAGACTGAGTGGCTTTGGATGCTGCCCCCAAAGGACAGCCTAGACAGTCCATCCTTAATCCTGGGGGGTGAAAATTTATACCCCTCAGAGAGGGCCTGCAATTTGGGGGTCCTCCTGGATTCGTAGCTGACACTGGGGCCCCTGGGGCCTTTGCCCAGATTCGCCTGGTACACCAATTGGGCCCTATTTGGATCAGGAGGCACTTCAAATGGTTACTCACGCCCTTGTCACCTCAAGCCTGGATTATTGCAATGCGCTCTACATGGGGCTACCCTTGAAAAGCGTTCGGAGACTGCAGCTAGTCCAGAATGCGGCCGCGCGAGTGATATTGGGTGTACCGAGGTACATTCCCGTTACACATGTCCTCCGTGAGCTGCACTGGCTACCAATTGGTCTCTGGACGCAATTCAAGGTGTTGGTTATTACCTTTAAAGACCTACATGGCTTAGGGCCAGCGTATTTGCGAGACTGCCTACTGCCACATA